GCGCCCCGCCGCTTGCCGGTGTCCTGAGTACGGCCGCGCAGGGGCCCATGTCCCGCTGCCGGCCCGCCCCGACCCCCCGCCCGCCTCGCCCGCAGGGGGGTCGGGAAGGGCGGCCCCCGCCTCCGCCGCCTTTAGGCCCGCAGGTCCATGCCCCGCCGCTCCTCCTGTCCCGTCTTCGGCCCGAGCTAGAGCGGGGCGCGGCGGCCCGGCCTGCCGGCAAGGCCCCGGGCGGGCTCGGTGCGCTCCGCCGCGGGGCTGGGGCTCGGGCTCGGCCCGGTTCGGGGCAAAGTTCCTCGGCGAGCGCTGGCGACGCGACCCGCTCCTGCCGCTGCTCCGCTTCGTTCCGCTCCTCCCAGCCCGGTTCCGGGCCAGCTGCGCTGCTGCGAGGCGGGAGCGGCGCTTCCCCCGGAGCCTGCGCCGAGCCGGGCCCAGCTTCAGCCCGCCCCGCCCGCCGTATCCTTCCGCCGGCAGCAGGCCGCCCTCCTCTTCATCCTGCCCCTTCCCCGCGCAGCCTCTTCCAGGCCAGCGGGATGTTTCCCTCGCTTCCCATCCCATAGGAGCAGCAACTCCTCCTCCGGCCTGCTGTAACCCAGCCGAACAGCCTCCCTCTCCGCTTCCCTTCCTTCCCGGAGCTCCATCTCCAGCCCTGTTTTGTCTTGTCACAAGCTCTTAAGGGCAGGGAGTGCCTGTGCCGGGTGGAAAGTCGGACACCGAAGGAACTTAGAACAGGAAGACACTGAACATCAAGTTAATCCATTAACTTCGAGTCTCGGGTAGCCACCGACTGTTCGCTCCCAGGCCTTTCCCAGCGCCGTCCCAAATCTCACGTTCCCGGCATTCCCACAACGCATCTCTGCGGGGAATTTTTCTCACCCGTGAAGGTCAGCAGGAATCCGGGATCAGAAAGAGGTGTTCCTGCTCCCTTAAACGTGAAATCCCCCCTCCGACAGGGAGGGATGAAACTGCACATTGCCATAGCTGCTAGACAGCATCTAAACATGTCAGTGTCACTGTCTGGCTTTCCCTTGCTAGGAAGGTAAGCGACTGTGCTGTAACTCCCTGCTGTTTGTGCCATACACAACACAGCTCTGGACAGAAGCACCTATCCGGACCGTACATGTGTTTGAACAGCAGAGCCTGCTTCCTGCAGTGCACACAAAGCAGGAAGCAAATCTCAGCAGCTCAGAGGCCAAGCTCGAGGTGCATGACCTAATCCCAAAATCTCGTTGCCAACACAAGGGCATAAATAAGATTCCAGTCGGGCACTCCTGTTCTGAACCACTCAGGAGTAACAGCTATATACTGCAACTTCAGGAAGCTTCCATACTGAAGAGCTCACAAGTACTCAGGAGTGGAATGGAGAGCAGGATGGCTCTGCTGCCACAGAGGATGAGCATTAATACCCGGGCAGAGGAACTTGAGGAACATCAGCCTTTCCTACCAAATGCCAGCAGACCAAAGTAATCTTATTAGCTAATCCCAATCACACAGAACACCACCCTCCTTCCCTGTAATTAATCTTACCTTGCTGTACTTCCTCAAAGACACGACACAGAGTCTGAAAAACAGGCTTCAGAAACCAGAACCAGACACATCATTGAGCACACAGGACCAATGTCTTGCTTGCAGCTATGCTCAGGACCCCAGCGCTCTCCAACATAAAGCGTTTTCCTCCTTGGAGTGGAGGGAGTGTGAATGAGGAAGCCAGGAGACTGACTGATAGCCTGAAGAATTTGTTGGTTTGCTGAACTCCAGTGCAAAGGGGGAAGCGTGGGATGGAATCATTTTCTACATGATGCTTGACATACATACACAGGATATGTGCACTCCCTCTTTTGGTTTCCTTTTGAGAAAGATAGAGGCCTGGGAGTGCACGACATGCAGCCATTACTGCCTCTCATTCTGACTTAATACTCCCATCTATTTATATGTATTATATATCTTTTTATTGCATCTTCTCTGCCATAAATCCCTCCCTGCTTTTAACTTGGGGAACATAAAGTACTGTGCCTTGAGAAAGGAAAGCTCCTGGAAGGCCTTCTGTTTTATGGGATGGTTTCACTTGCATATTAGGGCTGGATGCTTTTTTATTACTTTAATTAGGTTTTATTGTGCATGACAACATAATGACAACAACAATTAGCTGGAGGAAGACCTAACAGAAAATGAAATATAGAAGCACGAAGGAAACTTGTGCCCTGCTGCAGTAAATTGACATCAAATTCAGTGCAGTGGCAGTGATTAACATTTGTCATTAATTTGCTCAGCACTGTCAAAAGAAGCATCACTCAAAACGACACCAGTGACAAAAAGGAAGCATTAAACCCCTATGCCATAATGGCCCAATAGGTTAACTATTGCTCCTAATGCACTGCACTCCCATTTCAACGTTTAATGCAACAATAAAAAGGCATTAATAAAACAATTCAAAAGTAGACTCTGGAATAACAACTGCTTCTCTTTTCTGCAAATGCTGTTAATATAGAGGCCTATTGATGATACTTCTGCTTGGGCAATTTTACAGTGTGAAGTCCCAGGTGGGGAAATCAATAAGCAATTACACCCTGCAATTAAAACTGGGAGGGGGGGTGGGGGTGGGGATAGGCTCTAAAGTCATCACTTAGCCTGAATTTACATGTAGTACTGTCACACAGACATAGATCTCGAAGTGGAACCTGCGCATTAACCTCACCAGTCTGTGTCACCAAGGAAAGCCCCAGTGTCCCCACCAGTCTGGTTTTTACCACCCAAGCAGCTCAAGTAAGGAGGACCCTGAATCAAAGAAGGCTGCCTCCTGTGAAGTGCAGCTTCTTGGTTTTCCTTAAAAGATGGCACCAAAAGGGCAGATTCCCTGGAGGTGCCTTATATGGGACTCCTGTAAACGCAGGCTTAGAGGGAAAGGCTTCACTGAGGTTCCTCTTGCTGTTTTCCAGCTGTGCTCGCTGAGGAGCTGTTGCCATCTGCTGGCAAAGTCTTGTGCGGCACCTCTGAGGCACCCCGGCCCCTTCACATCGTGTCAGATAGGAGCCATTGGAGCAAGTTACCTGTGGGTGCAATAGATCTCCTGCAGACCCCCAGTAAAGCGCAGCTAGCTTTGTAGAACTGTGCGCTTAAAGTCAAGTATGATGTGCTATTAGCTGGGGTGCACTAATCATTATTTATGGATAATGTCTTTTAAGTTCTGCTACTGGCAAGTAATCAATGTAAAATCAGTGACAGAATGCACCACTATTTTGGACTGTTATTCAAACTTACCATAAATTGCTATGCCAACTCGGTTCCAGCAAAAAGAAGTCAGTTGCTTGCAGAAGGCAACAGCCAACCTTCATGCCTTGCACAGCTGGAGAGGAAAGGCTAACAGACAGCTCCTTTCCCAGATATGCATATGAATTTGTGACTCTTGGAAAATGAACAGGACCCTGACCTTGTGTCAAGACTGGGGTAAACCTGGTTCTCCTCTCAAGCTAAGCACAACTTAAACCTTCCTGCCCTGCTGACCTTTTGTAGTGCCCAGCAGTTCCAACCAATCAAACTCACTTAAGCACTAATGGCTGCCTCTTAGTTCAGCATCCTTTCATCCCTGGGAACTCAGAGAGCCGCTCTGGTATGAGATCTCTCTGAGCCAGCTGAGAGTATCTGTGGGATTTCATTATTTGCTGAGATTCTACCTTTGAGGGAGCTGAAGCGAGTAATGATATCCTGAATCAAATCCAGACTATCTGCTTGGCTATCTACTGCATTTTAGAGGTGCTGGGCTGATGCTAACCAGCTTCTCTATTATGTGGATGCAACCTGCTTCAGAAACCAATATGGCCAGTTCAGTAGCCACCAATGGATGTCTGCCATCTCACACCTTAAAACAGGCACATGATTTTCTACATACAGACAGGTAGCTCATTCTCAGTTCACTGCCAATGCTGGAAACCCATACAGGGTTTGTTCTATGCTTTTAAGTCACCGGGACACAAATGCAATGCTTTGATGACTGTTAGGACACAGCCTAATCTATCAGAGCTTCTACTGTGAGTGCTTATTACAGTTCCTAAACCTGGATAATCCACATTGCAGTCAGCATTTTTATGGCACTAAGCTTTCTTTCCATATCAGCATCATTAAAGGAGCTACCTTTGTAAAGACAAATGAAGCTGCTGTACATTCTGCCATGAGTTTCCTTCTTGCTCTCTGCTAGAATCGATGGCCTCTGATTCAAGGTGGGCTTATAGAAAGAAAGGTCTGTGTTATGAGGGAAAGACCTAAAGAGATGGAGAATAACATTATTTCTCATCACATCTGAGGATTATCAGTTACACTGAACAGATCTGAACCTTCTGACACAATACACAATTCAAACACCACCGCAACACAAGCATTGCTGAAAACCTCTACTTTGAGGCATTTGAGAAGCCACAGAAACCTTCTGCTTCCCATACAGAACTGGCTACCAACAAACAGCTTTTACTTTGCAAAAGCTTTTCCATATCTATTCGGTTCAGTCTTAAAAGTTTTTTGCCAAAGACCCCTTATGTTTCCAAGTCACCAGCTGCCAAACTCCCCCTGGAACTGAGGGAAACAGGACAAAGGCAGTAAAAGCTAACACCTTCTTTTATGTGGATTTAGAAGAGCACGTATTGAACCTGTCTTGGGAAGGGAAAAGTGGAAAGACAGGAGAACCCTCTCCTTTAGCATACACAGCATGGAAAACAAAGGCAACTCCATGAGTTGCCTGAGGATAGGCACATGAAAAGCCTGGGAACAAACCTTAGTGAAGAAATGCACCCTGTTCAGCCAGTTAACAACCTGAAAGCACCCATTAGCAAACACCAAACTACTAAGTACCCTGAGACCACCTTGCAGGGTGGTTTCTCTGCCTGTTAAGGCATCTAAGATGTCCCTAAAAAGCATCCACCAAGCATCACTTTGTTCATTTACACCGACAATGCCAACAATCCAGTAATGCACAGTACAACTTCATAACCACGTACAAGGAGAAAACCCAAATATCTCATATAATTAAATAATCTTTATTTTATAAAACATAATACAAAGCATCTACACCATTCACTGGTGGAACATTAGTTGCTATTACACAGTAATTCAAACACAAGTTATTATTTCACACTAGTTCCACAGTTTCCTTTTACAATTTGCTCTAGCCACTATGGACTAGCCTGAGGACAGGTTCCACCATGTGCTCCATAGCCTGAAAGTTACACTTCTTCTGGGTCTATGATTCTATGCTGGAGCCCACTACCTGACTATGAGGCCTTACTCTGAGACGTCCTTGCTAGCTCTGCCTCATAAAGCCATTCCCAATTGCTCTTTTTGTTTTCTGGTGCCCTTGTTTAACTTCTAAGGCCTCAACACTGACCACAGTGCTCTACTTCTTCCAGCCAAGCTTCCCCCCAGTTCAAAGAAGGGAAGAAGTCAGCCATTAAGGGCCATTGTCTTTCAGAACATCTTCATACAAGCTGTTTCATAGATACCTGCAGTCGCTGACATCCTTATTCACGTGGGCAGATATGGGCTGTACAGCCCCCACGGCAGGGAAGTAACGATGCGGTAAGCTGCACAGCAGAGGTTAGAGTCCTAATGGAGCTTTTGGCTCCATGTACTGTAATCCTTACTAGGGAAAACCCACTGGACATCCTGTCTTCAGCTTGGGAGTCCACCTGAACAAGCAGCAGCATGCCTGATCTTTATGCAGATGCCTAGCTTATTCCTTTAGACTCCTACCCATCAGAACCACTGCAGAACAGCTTGGAGTCCTGCTTTCGTGAGGCAAGCCAGATGCTGGGAAGTGCCATGTTCAGGTGACAAAGTGCTGATGATGGGTCACTGTTACAAGTGCTTTGCTCAAAGCAATTTTGCCTTTAGACAGCACAGCTTGACACAGACCACCAAGCCTTCATCAAAGGTAGCATAGTGTTAACAAATGAAAACACCCCACGAGGTAGGTAATGTTGTACCCACTTAATAGAGTGGGTAAGCTGAGGCTAAAAGGCTCCTTGACGTGCCCAACAGCAGCAGCACTGCTGGGAAAGAACCAGCATACCCCAACTAGCCCTTCTTGTCTCCTTTCAAGGCCCAATAGTCCCATCACCATGCTGTGCTAAATGAGTCAAGTTTCCTTTTCAGGACCAACTCACCCATCAGTTGGCTCTATTAAATCTGAAGCGGTTTGGGCTCTTCGGGTCTTTGGCTGCAGCAGGCAAGGCTCACAGCAGAACTGGCACCTGAGCTGTACTGCAGGCCTGGTGCTGAGGCTCAAAATAAAATGATCATAATGATGAGAGCAGTAACAAAGGAACAGCACTTAAGAACACACAGTGAAATAAACACCAGAAGCTGCCAACCAGGGGACAGTTTTTCCCTCGAAATGGGACCAGATGAAAGTAACGCTGAGTTTTCCTCCCAGTCAGGTTCACTTTTCTGATTAAAAAAAGGCCAGATTATGTACCTCTAGCTCCTTTAAGAATTGGCTGCAAATAAATGCCTATAAATGTAAATAAGTGGCTCTAAATGCCCACTTTTATAAAGAGACACAGATCCAATCAGGGAGACAGAAGTGAATTCAAAAACAAGAGGTCAAGGCGTCAATTCAGATAAGGATAGCCTTAGGTAAGTCTCTGTCTTGAACAGGGCACGGGACAGACTTGAAGCCGAGTAGCTTTTCCATCTTAGCCACCGTGATTTGAAGATGTGCGTTGGCCACTCTTCAACCCGAAATCCCAATTTGGATCTGAGGAAACACGCTTGTTGAGCTTCTCATAACAGTGGTAGCCACTCAAGGAGCTAACAGCAGTATTTGGAAGGGGTGGGTGGAGTTTTAACAGTGAGGGATGAAGAGAGAAGGAGTCAGAAAAGCATTTTGCATTGGGGACTGTGTCTTTGGGTGTATTCACAGAGCACCTAGTCCTGCAAGGTGCCAGTGCTGATGAGAGCTCCTGGACACTACTGAATAAGTTACTGAAAGGAATCAGGGTAGGAAACAGCCACCTACCTAAAATTCTGTTCTCTCTAGAGCCACACTCTAGCTCAACCACCAAAATAAGTTTCTCCCAAAGGAAACACAGGGATAATGAATGAAGTGCAGATACCAACCCTCATTTTGCACTCATATAGCACCTCTCAAGTGAAAATCTGAAAGTGCATAACGCAGATGGATCAGCTCCATCACCCCCAATTCACAGATGGGGAAATGAGGCACAGAGTTAGAGTTACATGACTTGCCCAAGGTCACGTAACAAGTTGGTGGAAGAGCCAGGAATCCCAACTCTGACAAAACACTAGAAGATGCTTCTTCCTAACACTATGAAGAGTCACTCTAACTGGCTAGACTGTACAGGACTCTGAATGTGAAGATCTAGTGTTATGTCCTCTCTTTGCCAAGATTCTACCAGTGCTGAAGGAGTTAGCTATGAAAATTACTATTTACACCTGCACTGCTGGACTGGTTATGTTTAGTCAGTAAAATTAGCCCTTCTTTCACTCATATCATTTAGTGTATGCTTACGTAGACACTGAGCCAACCTCTGCCAGGCCAAACGCTGCAGATCCAATGAATCCATGGCATAGCTCCATGGATTTCAGTGGAGTTATGCCAGGGATAAATTTGGCTCCAGAATTGCTAACGTGTGTTGGCTCCTCTCCCAACAGTGGCATTTCAGGCACGATCCCCTCCTTGCCAGACTGCGAACTCGAGGAAGTCTTTACTCAGCATCCCGTCAGTGGGTTTTTAGGTGTCCATTAGCTCTCAAGTATAACTCCTCACTCCTCCGACTCCTCCAGGCGTGGTACTTCTTCATGCTCTTCCTCCGAGCGAAGCGGCAGATGCTGACCATGAAAACCCAGGAGACAGCGTACATGATGACGCCGCCCAGCTTAATGTACCACCTGGGCTTGGGAGAAGCAAGCTCACAGTACATCAGCCAGGCCCCCACTCCAATCCGCACCCCAGTGAAGAGGACCACGAAGAAGAAATCCACCACGTCACCTGTGAAACTGTGGTAACACCCGATCTCCTTCAGGAACCAGCGAGCCTGCAGCAGCGGGTTAGTGATCTCACTGCCAAAGATGACGGCATTGACCTCCGCAGCTGACTCCCCGAGTGCCAGCGATGCTGTGATACCCAAGATGCTCACCAGATGGTGGGCCAGCATCAGGGCACCCTCCGTCTGGAAGTACACACACCAACAGAGGTCGAAGAGGAAGTAGCCCAAGCTAAGGCACAGCACATGTACCTGGAGAGTTGTGTTTGGTGATCCTGAAACATAAAGACATCAGATAGAGCTTTAAAACATGGAGGCAACAAGCAGGCAGCATCTGAGACAAGGAAGGGGTATTCACCTTCAGTGTTGGCGGACTGGTGTTAGATTGTACTGATCACAGCTCAGATGGAGAAGTCAGAGAAATCACAATACTGTAGTTGTTAGTCTAACAGCTGCACACATGTAATAGCCACACAACGTGATCAAACACCCCGCCAGAATGCAGCTGGGGAAGACCATTACACTACCAAAATACAGTACCAGTCTCTCCATTTCTCCAGTACCTTCCATTACAAAGCAGCTCAGATACCACAATCATCATTCCTCAGGTGGGCTGGATACTGAGGTAGTAGGAGGACCCTCCTTTGTGCCATCACACACTGGGGGACTTGGGACCACAACTTGCATTACTTACCTGGGTGACTCATAGGCCAGGGACCATCAATAAAGCCAACGTAAGCAGAGAGGCAGGTAGCAAGGATGCCGTGGGTCAGAGTGACCAGCCTGCAGCTCCATTCGTAATTCCGGTGCTTGTAGCGATGGCAGAACCAAGTGTAGAGAGAGAACCAGGCAAGCAGACTGCAGGCTACCCGCAGAGGCAGAGGGAACAGCATCCTGCCACAGGAACAGAAAGACAAAAGGGATCAGAAGGTCTAGCAGTGTTAGCACAACCCAGTGCAGCATCTCATCCGTAACCACCCCAGCACTTTCCTGATGCTGTTGCTTGCTCCTGACAAAGAGTTCCTGTGCGAAAAGGCCTACATCAAAGAAGCCTATCCTTGACAATCAGGGCAGATTCACCATAGAGCCTCCAGCAAACAGGCCCCCACCAGTGTCACCTCAGCTGTGGGAAGACGCACTGAAAGCAATGGCCTTGTGAGGCAGCGAGTTCCTACCTGGTTGAACAGAAAACACACCACAACTTGGTAGAGCACCTCGGAAGACTTCTCCAACCAGTCTACAGTGCAGGATGTGCTGGGATGTGTTAGTGCTCATCTGCACTGCCTGCGGGACAGGCTGAGGAGCACCACATCCAGCAATAAAGCTTTGATCCAGAGCTAGGCCTGCCTCTTCGTTTTAGCTCCCTGCCTATGTATCTGCATTTGACTGGTCTGCTTGTGCTGCCCCACCTGACCTACTCATTCTTGGCTCCTTCTCTCCTGAAACAACAAAATACCCCCATAAAACCCAAACACCACAGTCTCTTTCTATGTCCACTGCTAATGAATTTTGCCAGTGCAGCGACACCAGATGCTAATGAGAGAAACACAAAAGGCATTGCCATCTCCTCCTGCTACTGAACTTTAACTTTCCAGCCCCAGCACATTTCTGGGACAATTTGGGAAGAAAAACCACTGCAAAACCCCATTGTTCTCCCCAGGAAACTTCCAACAACAACACATAGTTCAAACTCAAACACATAGGTCAAAGCTCAGATTAGAATACAGCACCCCCCAGCAACCAGCGATCAGATAAAGCAGCCCACCACCTTCAGCAGCCAGTTGCTAAAAGCCCCCCAAATACACAATAATATCTACATCTCATTCATATTTGCAATACCTTTCCATGCAATGCAAGATGTGTCTCGTTATTCCTGAGCATTCAGGGAAGCGCATCAAAAGCAGTTGAGTCACGCTCTGGGATGCGCGAGTTTCCAGTTGAGTAATAGCAAAAGTGCCACTGGTCCTGCTGGTACCTGCTGACCAGCACACTGGATTCACACCCAGGTCCTTCTGGAACACCAAAAGGACCACGCTTGATGAGGAGTCAAAGTTGCAACAGGCCAAACAGGAAGGTTGGGCACTGCAAGTCTGACCAGGAGTTACTTAGGAGGCTGGGTAAACAAAACCATTATGTTATAATGGGCCTTGGGAACATGGGGAGATGAAATAAGGATGTAATTAACTGCTCTGACCAAGCGTTCCATTGACATCCCTGGTACTTGAGGTCCGTATGCATTCAGAGTCAGGGCAGATAAGGCAGGAAGAATTCTGATGCGAGAAAAGGGAGGAAGAGGTGCAAAACCTGTTTCTCCATCCCCTGGAAAGAAAGGGGTCTATCTTCTAATTGCACATCAAAGCTCAACGTTGTCATTAGCACATGCAACTGCACGCATACATTACATATATACATTGCACCTGTGAGCTACGCCTGTCCCTGCACACCGGAAAGGGCAATATCCTTTAGTAATCATATTATCCTTCCTACCACCAGGAGCAACGGGGTCATGAGCGAAAGCAGGCCCTATAATAACTACAGGTGCCTAAAACCCTGGTGTAGAACAGCCCTGCTCTCCCCACAAGCGCTTAAAAACGAGGTGGGCGCCTCCAGCAAAGCACCGTTATTCCTCTACGGCTTTATGGGGCGCAGCTATAAACCAGAGGAGCCCAAAGAGCCTGCACAGCGTGCCCCAAAGCACGGACACTGCGCCCACCGCCCGAGCCCGCATCCCGTACCGCTCCCCTGCATCACCTGCAACCGGCCTCCGCCGCTCGCCTCCGGCCCCGCTGTTCTCCAGCGGCCTCCGCGGCTCTGCGGGTGCCTGCGGATGCCGAGGCCGGGTCCCCGCAGGCCGCAAGGGAGGCAGCGGGGCCAGGCCCTTCCCCGCGCACCCACCGCACGGACGCGGCTGCTCGGGCCGCCTCCGCCGCCCGGGAAGAGGAAGCGGCGGCCGAGGGGCACCTGCTGGCGGGGAGGAGGGACGGCAGCGGCCGCGGGAGCGCAGGGAAGGGGCGCCCGGCATCAGCGGCTCCGTGAGCATCCCTCACGGATGGGGCTGGGGACCATCGGGGCTGGCCCCGAGAGCCCTAACGCGCAGGTCTCCAGGTGCCTCCGCGGTTCAGCGCCCGGTTGCTCACAGAGCAAGGTGCAGGTTATGTGTCCATTGGGCACATGTAAAGAGCATCGCTTTAGCCTGTGGGCACAGGATGTTAGTCCCACGCACCCATGGCCCGCTTCAGTCATCTCACGTGTCGCAGAGATAACACGGCAAATGTGGGCTTGCTTTCCTCCCAGCCAGCCAGCGCCTGGTGCGAAGCAACTCGCAACACTGCATCACTATAGCACCGGCTTCGAGGTAACAAACATACCCCGTGGGGTTTACCAGTGCGCAGCACGCAGCTTCAGCCGGCTGTGCAAGCACACAGCCCTGCCCTGGACATACCCTCTCATCCAATGCTTGTGCAACAGTTACAAAGCCTAGCGATTTCTTCTCGCTACAAGCATTCTGTGCTAAACCACATCTTTTCTCTCTACTGCCTTCATCTACATCCACGAAGTAGCAAAAACTAGGGCTTATGCAGCCTAAAGTATATCGCAAAAAAGTTCCTCCACAGCCAACACGCTCCTTTGTTACGTTGCAATCAAAGCAATCTCTCACTCCCAGCAACAGTTTGGGTTTTTTTTTGTCTCATCCTGTCAGGTTCTACCCTTTGAAATACAGATGATGGGAGTATCTTGTCTTGCCTCTTGCAGTACCTGTAATAAGGCTGTTTTCAACTGGATATCTCTCTATCTTATTTTTCCAGTTCAGGCCAGGCACAGGTTCCTGTTGCTACAAGATGCTCATCCTTCAACTATTTCAGCACGACAGCCTCACTAGCATTAACAGCACGTTTGCTTCTCTAACAAATCTTAGGTTTCATCTTCTTTTCCTCCACTTTTGCTGGACCAGGCACCAGCCCCCTCCAACAGCATCAGTAAGAATCGAGATGGAGCTGTTCTTAGCTTAGGATAAAGACAAGGGCTTGACAGACAGAAAGCTGTAGGGCTAACACTGACCCATAGCACAGAAACTCAGCAGTCAGGAAGAACAACGGAGATGGTTACAGATCTCTCTGAAAGCCCTATCAAGACCAAGACCATTTAATGTCTGAGGTAGAATGGGGGGGGGGGGTATAGTTCTAGATTGTACAATGTGCAAAACATGCATCTAGTGAGATGCAAGGTAGCAAGTGGATTGTACCAGAAGTTAGGGGCAGCTTGCACACTCATTTCCTTGTTTGCTTTGTGCAGTGTCAGCTATTTAAACAGGCAGGCTGGGTTGCACTGGCGCGTTTTGCCTGTAGATAAACAGCATTCAGCAAAAGAGCTCAGGCCAGGAACCTCTGCTAACAGTTATCTGCACGCTGCTACGTGGTGTAGTACAGCTGCATCCTCCCTCAGCAGTACATTCCTTCTACTTGCTGCACTCACTCTAAGGAGAACTTATAACACTGAACCTATTGGCTTGCCAACAGTGGGAAGCTTCTTGTCCCACAGGAAATACACAAGAGCTGGAAACACACAAGAGCCCAACAGCTTTTTGTGACTGTAAAAGCCCTCAAGGATGTTTGACAGGTAAAAACCAGGCACCTGTATTAAAAATGACATTTCTCTGACATATTAGCAAATAAGAAATCCAATGGGATAGCAAGGGTGGAACCAGATGCTTTTCTAGCATCCCATTTTAAGGCTAAAACTAAGCTTAGGTGAGACGTGGTGCATGACCACCTGAGGGCACTTGCCTTTGCATCTCACCGGGTAGCTTCCATCAGTTTGGGTTTGCATGTGAGCTGTGTGTGCTGATTTACTGTCTCCACAGGTGAAGGAAGAGAGTTTCCATGTTGGAAGTCAAGCCCAGGCCCACTTCCACCCCAGACAGCCACTCAGCAGTGATTTAGGACATCTCATAACTCTATATTCTCCAAATACAGCACAGACAAACCACCTGCAATCCCAGCCTTCTGAACTGGCCATTCCTAAGATGAAGCACAGCAACAGAGAGGTTTTGGTGCTAACAAAGGGCAACCTGACATGAAGGACATGATCAGAATTTAAGTCACCCTTTGACCCTGCATCCATCCAGTTTTATGGCTTATTCTCAAGTTCCCTGTGATATAATTCATTGCTGAGGCAGGTTATGGGTACATTAGTCACAAATCTAAGCTTTAGCTGACCTTCATTTATTCTTCACACCTTAAACCTGAGCTGTAGAGCACATGGCTCAGTCCTGTGCTTGTTTCCCCACCAGCTCACTCCTTCCTGAACTGCATTGAGGGCATGAGCCAGAGCTTGGTCAGTGACTACTAGCCTTAGCATGCTTAGGCTCCCCTCAAGCCTCTCTTCCTCAGGCTTCATTAACTTTTAAGACCCAGAACAAAAGAACATTACAGCAACCATTTCTTTTGAACAAGAGAGCACAGCTTTATTAGAAGTCTCATCACTCAAGAGGAGTTTTTGGAAGAGCACAGTGACTCTGGCAAGAGTTCACACCTCAAACGCAGGCCCCAAGAGCAAGGCTCCTGTTTTTCTATAGGCAATAGCCTGCTCAATTCCCTGCATTCACAGCTGCAGTGCATCCACAGGGCATGGCAAAGGTTATTTCATGTCGTTTCTTAATCTCTCCACACACCTTCTTCTAACCCCCAGCCAAGGCAGATATCTGCCCTGAGCAGTGCCAAAGGCAGTGAGATAAGAGGCATGGAGGAGCTAGTAAGGCTGTGTCCCCATAGCAGCTGTATTCCCATTGCTCCCTTCCTTCCCCTCTGCAGCAGGGGTGACACCTAGCTTGAGCAAAAGCCACACGCAGGCTGTTTCAGGGGCTCCTCTAAACAAGGTCTTTGAAATGAGGAAGGAAAGGCAACCAGCCTTCCTAAGCCTGAGGGCAACACAAAGCCATTTGTTTCTCAGCTGTAAGCGAGGCTTTTATGGGAGAGTAAACCTGAACTGCAGCCTTAAACAGAGGGAAATTCACATTAAAACCCCAGGGGAAATGTCAGAACACCACTCTGAGAGGTAAAACAAGAGAACTGGTCCATACTCCAAGGCCTGCTGGTATGGAACAGATGTTGCATTGAGATCTGCCTAAACGTTACTGTCAGCCCTGAAAATACAGTCACTTATTGCACTTGTTAGCTTAAGTGGCTTGCAGCTGAGCCAACCCAGAACAGAAAGAGCATCCAGAGAGGGGCTCTTCTCTCTCTCTCACCCACAAAATGCCTGTTTGGTTTCTCTGAAGCAATCCAGGACTAGGTGAATACCTGCTTATGGAATTTATTGGCACTAGTCTAATTCTTGACTCTTGTTTGCAAGAGCTTGAGTCAATCCCAGTGAAGTCACAGCGCACTAAGATCAGTATCTGCTTGAACACAAGTATTAAAAAAGGAAGAAATGTATCATTAAAAGCAATGAGGTAAAACATTACCTCACCTCAAGTACCATCACTCCACACAGGCAAAGGACAACTCTACCATACCCTGCACGCACTTGAGTCTTGTTCAGAGGCTTTCATCCAAGTACTTAGTCAAGTGTGTTGGTCAGTAGACGTGCCAGACTCTGCAGATGTGCACTCAAACCCCTCTTCTGTCTGCTTCCCTGTGTTCCTAGTGCCGGTTCATCTCCTCCAGGCATAGCCAGTGCCAGAAAGTCAATTCCAGTCAGGTTTAGGAGTTCTTTTCATAGGGATAAGCCAGAACCCTATCCCAGGGGATTATCCACAACCCATTAATGAGCTGTCAAGTGCCCGTTAGTTTTCACAGGTGCATTCGAACTCCTCCGCCTTGCCCAGGAAATATTCTTCTTCATCATCTTCCTCCTGACAAAGCGGCAGATTTCAACCATGAAGCCCAAAGATACAACGTACATGGCCAAGCCTCCAGCCTTGAGGAGCCAGCTGGGATCAGGGGATGTCACCATCGCATACATGATCAAAGCCCCTCCTCCAATTCGAAGCACCAGGAAGAGGGAAACGAAGAAGAAATCCACAATGTCTCCCAGGAGAGTGTGGTACCAGCCTATTTCCCGCAGGAACCAGCGGGTCTGGAGCAGAGGGTTGGTGATCTCGCTCACAAACACAACAGCATTGACTTCTGTAGCAGACTTCCCGAGCCCCAACACCATGATCATGCCGCAGATGCTCAGCGTGTGGTGGAGCAGCATGAGGTCCCCCTCTGTCTGGAAATACAGGCACCAGCCCAGGTCAAAGATAAAGTAACCCAAGGTCAGGGACAGCACGTGGATCTGAAGAGCTGTGTTTGGTGAACCTGAAATGAAAGATGTACATAAGCCTGGGGTCTGATTGAAGACATTATTCTGTGATATGGAGCAATACAGATTGTGAGCATGCCTCTTTCCTCCTTAGTTTCCAGGCTTTCCTATGGGTCAGCAGCCAGGCTGGAAGCTTGGAGGCCTGGTTCTGCTCTCCCTTCACACTTCAGCCTGCCCAACAGACATAGGCAGGCCACCCATCCCTCCACACTTCTGGTTTGCTTTTTCTCTCTTAGAAAGGGGGGTTGGAAAGCCTGACCACCATCAGCAGAACCGTCTGAGTGTTAATTACAGGAAGCAGCAAACAAAACCCCACAGCCAAATGCTAGGAGCTATTATACCCTTAAAGATGTGAACAGCACTTGGTCTATTCTCAACACACTGTTAACGCCTAATGCTGCGATAAACTCAAGCTGCCAACGTGGAAGCTCTCAATATGTACATGGATAAAACAAGGAAAAGGTTAACAGTAAGAAGTGGGAGGAGAAGAAGCAGGGGGAGGTTAAACAAAATCCTGCCCCAAACACACTCCAAAAGCATACATATAGGAGGCAGCAAAAGCAATCTGCTCCCCACTCCACCTGTAGCAGAACCAGAGGTGTCCCCACTGCATGGCAACGACAGTCAGGGTAAGACTCCAAACATACCTGCATGGGTCAGAGGCCAGGGGCCATCCAAGAACACAGCGTAACCGGAGAGGCAGGTGACAATC